ACAGCAAACTTGACATCGATAAATGAAGATCTTGAAAGAGGAGCAGGACCAAGAAAATTTTCTTATAAAGATCTTGCATCAGCTGCTAACAATTTCTCAGATGATAGGAAGCTAGGGGAAGGAGGGTTTGGGGCGGTTTATAGAGGGTACTTAAACGGCTTAGATATGATGGTTGCGATAAAGAAGTTTGCGGGTGGATCTAAGCAGGGGAAAAGAGAGTTCATAACCGAGGTAAAGATAATCAGCAGTTTGAGACATCGAAACCTTGTGCAACTCGTTGGTTGGTGTCATGAGAAAGATGAGTTTCTAATGATATACGAGTTCATGCCAAATGGTAGCCTCGATGCTCATCTATTTGGTAAAAGGTCGCATCTCGCTTGGCCTGTGAGGTGCAAGATAACTCTCGGTCTAGCCTCTGCGCTACTTTATCTTCACGAGGAGTGGGAGCAATGTGTTGTGCACAGAGACATCAAGGCGAGTAATGTGATGCTAGACTCCAATTTCAATGCCAGGCTTGGTGATTTCGGGTTGGCTAGATTGATGGACCACGAGCTAGGTCCACAGACTACAGGGTTAGCAGGAACATTTGGTTACATGGCTCCTGAATACATAAGCACCGGAAGAGCGAGCAAAGAATCTGATGTTTATAGCTTTGGAGTTGTTACATTAGAGATTGTTACAGGAAGAAAATCTGTTGATCCAAGACAAGGAAGAATAGAGCCTGAAACAAGCCTTGTAGAGAAAGTGTGGGATTTATATGGTAAAGGAGAAGTGATCACAGCTATTGATGAGAAACTCGGGATTGATGGTACTTTCGATAAGAAGCAAGCTGAATGTCTTATGGTTGTAGGGTTATGGTGTGCTCATCCAGATGGAAACTCGCGGCCTTCGATAAAACAAGCGATACAAGTCTTAAATCTTGAAGCACCATTGCCTCATCTTCCGCCCAAAATGCCTGTTGCTACTTATCATGTATCATCTTCGAGTCCTACTACAACATCGGTAAGCTCTGGTGGTGCTACTGCTACGTTTTCAAGTGCTCAACTTGGTCGTTGAGTAGATCTCTGTTGCTGTGTATTACTCTTGTCTTTTCTCTC